CTCTTTTATTCCTCACATAGGGAGATCTCCCTTCAGGTTCTAGTGGGTATATACATACATACATACATATGTTTCATTAAATAATAATAAAATAGTTTTCATAAAAAGGTCCACTTTACATGACTTTATATAATTGCGGAAAAAAGTCAAAAAAATTCCCTTAGAAAATCTTATCAACTTAGCTGAAACAGAAAAATTCATACATGTTTGCAAAAATCAATTTGCAATCAGCAAATCGATTTCACGCAAATATCATATTTTCGGCAAGCAAGCAAATGTACACTTGTCGGTCTGACTTCGATTTTTACAGCCCTATTCCGGTTTTGCAACAGAATGACAATTGATCATTTTTCGTTGTCGTGATTTTGTCATTGTCGTTGCACGTTGGCATTCCTAACAAAAAATGACAGGCGAAAAGCTTTTGTCAACTTACCATGCATGGTGAAAAGTTCATTGTTGTAGAAACAGCTGGTCAACGCTATTATTTGCAAAAAATATGAGCGGTGAAACACCAGAAAAGTGAGTATTTGTGTGAAATAGATAAATTCGTATATTTATAACATTTTAGACGTGCAAAATATGAGCGAACGACGCAGGAGCAGCTGCAATTTTATGTGCAGTTTTGTAGGGGGCATCCGGAACTGCAAAAAGGAAAAAATAATCCGTGCTCCCCAAAACTGATGCAATCGCTCTGGACGCAGATGGCTGACAGCCTAAACGCCATGCGTGGTCCCACCCGCTCCGTAGAAAAGTGGAAAGATATAAGTTTTGTATATTTACATACATACATATGTACGTATTTATATCTTTCATTTATGCATGAATACATTTGCATACACACATTATCAGATACGCTGCAGAGCACGAAAAGTACATGTGGATGTAATTGGAACAAGTAGGGGACCACGGACGGAAATTTATTAAATCGTCGCACTTTTTATATCAACACAAACATATGTTTTTGCCTTGTCACCTGCCCAAAAGGTCATGACAATAAAAATGACAATTGGCATGATTCGAGCTTTTGAATTTTGCTGCGAATACCAAAAAGCTGCAATTGTCATTTTTATATCAATTGTCATCGCGGCGAGTTTTGTCAGTGTGGCGGAATAGGGCTGTTATTTTAGAGTTTGTTTTGATCCGACACAAGCACGCGCCTGCCTCCGCAAGCATCCCCTCTGCCTAGTGCTTATTAGATTTCTGTTCTCTTTGGTTATTCGTTTTTATTTTTAGTTTTGCTTTGAACTATGCTACACGCTCGCCTCCGCAAGCATCCCCTCTGCCTGGTGCTTATTAATATCATTTCTCTCCTCTTACCTGTTTCGTTCTTATTTTTTCATTTTGCGTTGAACTATGGTAAATTTGCCGAAGTGTGGTGTGGTTCACACAGAAAATGCGCCTTCTCATTTATAAACGTTCTAAACATAACAAGGTAAAACCATTGAGAGGCAGTCTGACGTTTGCCAGCAATATAATTTTAAAATCAAAACTCAAACTCACACACACATTCTCATTTTCAATCTCAAACAACAACAATTGTGAACAATTTAATTTTTTTATTTTCAATTTTATATGATTTTAAAATGTTGGCAAACGTCAAAACAAAATCAGGGCCGACGAATTGAGAGAATGAATTTACTTTGTAATGTTTTTATCATGGTTCTAGCCATGGTGGAATTATACAAGGTGTTGTACGTAGTGACAGCTCATGTCGACAGCTCCCTTACAAAAGGTTGTAATATGGAAGCACGAGAGAAACGGGAAGAAAAAAAGCCCGCTTTGCGAAGTAGTACGAAATTTGGTACTATTTTTCATATAAAATTTTGCATATAAATAGTTACAAACGGTATATTATGATAAGCTAAATTCGCGAAAGTAGTATATATAACGTAGTACTTATGCAATAAATGGTAATTTAGTTTATTAAACACAATGTCCTATAATTATAGTCAAACTTCCAAAACCAAAAAATTAGTGGTGACCCCGAGTCGTTACATGACGGAATCGACAAAAGGGCGCATCGACGGATGGGGAGAATATTTCATCGAACAAAATGCCAGCTAAAGATGTGGAGCTTACATCGCAATGCAAGCTGCGACCGTTCTGAACTGAGATGCCAGACAAATGGTTTCTACAAATTGAGGCCACCTTTCAGTCGTACAAGACCACATCTTATGTCGGTAAATATAATCTGGTCCTCTCAGCAATTAGCAGCGATGCTTTAAAGGAAGCTGCGGATGTTTTATAAACCTTACCAACTCAAGACCGATATATTAACCTCAAAAGTCAACTACTGTCACGTTTTACTGATTCAGCCGACCCACATAGGGTATTTGGCTGATTTAGGCATATTTTTATCGCTACAAACATCAAATATAGTTTTAGTTATCGAATAAAACATTCACTATAACTACCCTGTTACTAATAGAAAATTCAATCGTAGTGAAATCTTATTTATTGTCAATATTATTGTGGCTTATTAACATTTCCATATTGTTATTGAGCTTTGTAGCACTATTATGTTTTTAGGGAAAAGGGAAAAAGCAACAAAGTCTTAGCGGTAGAAGTTACCAAAAAAACAGTTATATCGTTGGAAAAGCAGGGCCAGTGGCAGTGAACCACAGACGGGATTGCAGCAGCAAAAATCACTGGGGAATAGATGCATAGTTAAGTACGTAGTTCTTGGGTAAATCTTCCATCTAAACTTACCAAGAAAACAGTTATATCGTTGAAAAAGCAAGGCCAGTGGCAGTGAACCACAGACGGAATTGCAGCGGAAGGAAGCACCGACCAAAATAACTACAAATCCTTGGGGAGAACTCTAAACCGATGTTTTTTTGCCGAATTAATGTTGAAATTTCTAATTTAATTTTCAGTTGCCAACGATAAGAATAGAGTAAATGTCAAAGAATTGTTCAGTGATTGCAAATCAGTTTTGGAATAGGGAATGAGGTAGTTTAGTACTTTTTTAAAGGCGATAAAATGTAGTTTTTTCAAGAGGGAAACACCGATATAGCTAAGGGAGCCAAGATGGCGGATTAGAGCGAGAACGCTGTCAATATCCAACACCTTGTATTATTCCACCATGGTTCTAGCCATGATAAAAACATAGCAAGGTTGAACCGTTCTCTCAATTTGTCGGCCATGATTTTTTTTTGAAGTTTACCAACATTTTAAAATCATATAAAAGTGAAAATAAAAAATTGAAATTGTTCGAAATTGTTGTTGCTTGAGATTGAAAATGAAAATGTGTGTGTGAGTTTGTGAGTAAATTTAAAAATTAAATTGTTTGAAAACGTCAAGAATTTTAAAAGTGACTCTCAGCGGTTCTACCTTACTATATTTTTATCATGGTTCTAGCTATCAATAGTTGGGTTATCAAGCTCAGTATCACGATCGTTTCTCACGAAAACGATTTGAATCATTCTTATTGGGGTTGGCAGCACTAATTTTATACTACTAGCACGAGGTTAACGTTGGAAATTTTAAAATAATTGTGGAATGTATTATCTGTAAATTATACGTACAAAATAAAAATATTTTCTTGCGCCATAATAAGCGTTCAGCATAAAAATTATGCACATACTGACGCGATAAATATTGAACATGTAGCGCGATCCATCAATCCATCAATATGGATCGCCATCCAAGTATCGTGATAATTACTGACCGTGTGAGAGAGCCCTAAGATACGGTATTTCTGGAGCTCAGCTGTTAAATTCGCCGCATTTTTACAATTCAACGTAATTAGTCTGTTCCAATAGCAGTCCGGTTTACAGGATTTAGTCAGAACTTACAGGAAGTCGTTCCTATTGACATAAAACCTGTAAGTGGGAACAAATTTGAGAGAGTAACTGAGCAACTGTCCCTAGTCAGAAGTTACAGCTGATTTGCAAAAACAAACAGCGGTGAAAGCAAAGAACCTTTTATTTGTTAAAAAATGGAAGTAAACAACGAAATATTTGAATATGTATAGATTTTAATAATTATTTAGTGATATTTCAGCTAAATCAGTGTTGTACAAATGACATGTAAACAAACCGACTGACGTTTTTACAGGAAATAGTGCTTTTTGCGTTCCTATGCACTTCTGCATCTGTTCTCCTTTTACTCTCATTTGAGAGCGTAAAATTGTAGCTTGACAGTTCCACAGGTTTTAGTCCGAAGTTCAAACGAACAGACTAAAT